GCGACACTGCGAGATGTAGATCTCAATTTTGTACTAAGCATAGTGATTATTCTTTTATCTCTCCATGCTAGTACTAAAGTTTCGTTCTTCCTAAATGCCAATTTTCCTCCAATTACTAACTTTGGTTTTTTGATTTGGTGCGGTAATCCCTTTCTATTAGGCATTATTGTTCCAGTATGGTAACATTTCTTTTTGTGCAACTCTGTTGCCAATGCAGGGCTTGTATAGAACCTGTCCGTGAAATGTGATATCCCTGGGCCTCAGGTATATTTTCCAATCAATTTTGGAAGAATTGTAATACAATTCTGCTTGTGAATTGAGCTCTGGGTGTATTAGCTCGTCAGTTGTAATTTTTTCCATAGTATGGTATGAACGAATAAATATAACTGCTGGCAGAATCCGAAAGAACATAAACACGTAAGCCCCATTTCGTAGGCTTTTTCGGACTATAAGTAATAAAGGAAATTTTCCCCTTGAAATCTACTGTTGATTCATGAATACAAATGTTTTGACCAGGAACAAAATATTCCATAAATTTTGAATTTAGGTAACTCAAATAGTTACTTATTTTCCTTCTTCTGTCTTTATGCTTCGATCGGATGTTGATATTGTTTCCAGATGAAGAGACCAAAAAATTTGGAAAAACCTTTTTGTTTTGAACATTTTAGCAAAAAATGGAATTCTTGTATTGAACGCTCGAGACCAATATGACTGCATATCTGGTAATGTTACAAGTTCCATGTTCATTATCACTCCCAGAAACTTGTTCATTTCAGTTTCAGTGATATCTTTCCAATCATTCCAAAATGAAAATGGCCTATCACTCTTTCCGAAATTATTTTCCTGCGTGTGCATTTGTCTCGTCAACAATTTTTCTAATCAATTCTTCAGTAAAGAAGAGCTTAAAATATTCAATAGGCGTAGTACATGACGACGGGATTCTTGGTCCAACATTTCTTTGTCCGATAGAAAAATTGTAATCACAAATGTAACTATCATTATGTGTTACATCATTCCAGATTAGTGGGTCTGGTATTACGTTTCCCAGTTTGATTATGCTGGAATTGCTATCCTCACTACTGCTAGAAGGTTTCCTTACTCGTTTACGCCTACGATGGAAATATGTTTCCGAGCCTGTATCAGAATCTTGACTTATATTGACTTCTGCGATACCACTAGCAAGATCTTTTGTATTATCCTCTTCCTCGACTATATTGGACTCAAGATCTACTTCTTGCATATAGTCATCAATATCATTACTGTCAAAGTCCTTATTTATTTCGCGCCTTTCACTCATTGTAAATATTTAGAGGGTGACGGTTATACAGTTTTCAAACTCTGAACAGGTTGATGTAAGTTAGCTAAGTTTTCTCCTGGTTAATAATAATAGTAATAATAAACCAGGCCGGTAAGAGCGTCCATAACGTGTGCGCGACATCTATTTATTGGACATGAAAAAATGTCGAGTGGAACTCGACAAAGGAGCTCCTGAGATAAAAACTGATGTCGAGTCACACTCGACATAGTAGTGTAAAGGGTTAAGACGTCCTTGTCATCGAGAAAAGGGTTTAGGCTTTTTAGAGGTGAGGTCGCAGGGATTCCCTCGTGCTTCTTCAAGCACCGGTACTCTTCCGCAAAATGCATACGCTGTAAATAGCGTACAATTGTTTCCGTTGCACGCTGGATTTCCGATGCTTCGACAACTTTTGCATCGAACGACCTTCGTTCTCCGGCCGACGGCCTCCGGAACCGGAGGCAGTAGGCGGTCACACGTAACAGCTTACTCCATTTGGAAAGTCGGAAAGCTAGGTTCCATTCCTTTTCCGGAATGGCCACAAGGGTATGCGATACGCGTGTTATAGCTATGGGGATTCTAACCCATGGGGCAATGAGGGGAGCGTGCGGCGAGGGGAAGTGAGGGCGCGCGGGGGAGTGCGGCGCGGAGAACTTTAGGCGCGGGGCCTGTGGGGAGTGGAAGAGTGGTTGCGCGCACACGAGCCGCGGAGTGGGGGATGTCAGGGGATTAGTCCAGGCCGAGCCGCCGCGGAGACCTCTCCAGACCTGGCCCGCCGTCGGAAATTTTTTAAGAGGGGGGGAATGATCCCCGAAAACTTTTCATACCGAACCGAGGGAGGGGATGACCCCCGAAAATTTTTTTCAACACCCACAGGCATTTTTTTATTGTCTTTTCGGCGTTCTCGGTACGTTTGATGAGATCTAAAAAAAAAGAATTACATAATGTTCTCCTAAGAAAATATTTACAGCTAGCGAAAAAAAAAACAACACATCATTCGGCTCGTAAATCTATTCTTTCTATTTATTATTCTAGTACTCGTATAAATTCAGATTTTTATAGTTCACTGTGGTTAGGTTTGGTCAACCTCTTGCAAAACGCGTTATAGAAAATGGTTAATATCATTACGAAACACAAGAAATAAAAAGTTTCATACTGTATACTAAATGCGAAAATTTACTCGAAAAATTGCAGCTCCTCTTTCATCCAGAGTCGAGTCGAGTCTCGCGCAACGATGCGTTTTCACGCTTTGTCAGCGAGTACGTTATCTACTGCGTGCCTTTCGCCGAAGTCGTTGCTACGCGAATATGCAATATCGTGTTCGCGACACGCTGCGTCCAACGGATTAAAATATAAATTAAATCGACGGTCCAGCCTTAGATTTATGCGAGGAGAGAATGTGGAAGACGGGTAAATAAAATTGGAGAAATAATATATGTTTTAAATGAGAATATATTGTTACAATAGAAGAATATATTGTTTTTGTTTTGAAAAGTCGAATCTTAGAATTATGCGAGGAGAGAAGGTGGAAGACGGGTAAATAAAATTGGAGAAATAATATATGTTTTAAATGATACTATATTGTTACATTTTTTTTATGCGAGCATCAACTACAATATCATTGATGGCGCATCCTAACAGTTCACAATCTACAAGATAATCCTTGCAGTAATATTCACTGTCGCGTATGATTTTAGCAGCACAACGTGTATCTAATGTTTCGGAGACAGCATCGCTTTTTTGTTGCAGCACGTTAACAAAAGTTTTAAATTTTGTCCTCACTTCTTCTGCAGTTTGATAGAGCCGCGGATACACATAGCTTACACACGGCTCAAGATTAAATAAAAATGTTACTGTATTCGGTTTGAAATACAGCGACTTAGTATCCATTGTCATCTTTACAATCGGTGAATCATACATGTGACAAAATTCCACCGTTAATTCATGAATCCGCATCAATGATGACCCGGGCAATTGTGCACGTTCCTCGATGGTTGTACAGCTGTCGAATAGTGTGTTCCATGTATGCCATGGTATTATGAGATGATTCCCACGATTATCGCCGAGAAGAATTTCTACATCGGCTATAGGACCTACTCTGATTCCAATTTCCAAATATTTGCTGCCCGAGGATGTTAATGCGTATCTTCTGACCATGACACGCGATGGTTGGCGCGGCCTAAAAGCATAATCATGAAAATTACCTTTTTTCATGAAAAAACATAAATAAATAAATAAAAAATTATGAAAGGTTACCTGTTAAATGTATTCTCCTTGCATGGAGATACACCATCATCTTGCACGATTGGAACGTAATAACGCATGGCACTGGTACTACACATTTTCTTTCAGAGCACTATTTGTTCCGTCGAAAATTCAGCGAAGCTACTGAGCGATTGATGGAATAGCGTCCGGGGAGACGGCTTAAACAGAGGTGCAATCCCCACCACATTTTATTCTAAAGCTACCATTTTTTTTCCATAATGCTTTTGTTCAATCTTAACATCGCAGCATATCGCGCGATTGCATGTAACTTGGGCCTCCAAGGATAAAAGTCTCGACACGTGTTGAATGTAATATAATATCTGTGGAAGCGCTGAATCTTAGAATTATGTGGAATCAGTAGAAACTGTGTTGAACGATCTTGCGCACTAATTCGTCATACGAGTGAATCATGGAAAGAATTATGCGATATCAGCAGAAACTGCATAGAACCATGTTGGCATGCAATGCATTTGAGGGAGGGGGAGAGACACCGAAAGAGTTAGGCAGAGATACCAAATCGCTGTGCTGGTATAAAAGCACGCTTTAAACTGCACAAGGCCTCAAATAGTTACAACGTGTTGCATTGAAAAAAAAGGATATTACATTTACATTTACATTTACATTTACATTCCATTTACATTCCATTTACAATCATGGAACAATTCGCACAAGTAGAACGCCAATTGTTGGATCAATCCGAACGATTGATTTCGCAGGAAGAGTACCTCGCGTGGGAAGAACGGTGCAACGAGTGTATCGAATCTTTGGAAGAACACAGCCGCGTGAAACGCCCGCGATTATCGATCGGTGTTCGACAATCGTTGGTTGCTCGAATCGCGCGACTCGAAGGATTGAAACATTTGGTGCGCAGACGTTTCGCGCGTGAAGGTGCCGGACATTCGAGTACGGGACTTTTGTGGCGTGAAATACACACTGCGTTCGATACTCGCGTATTAACAGGTGTCATCCTAAATTCGAATTATATCGAACCGCGCAACTTCCTCCAGGATGCAGAGACCATTGTGCTGGAGCATGTTCGGGACACTTTGAGGAAACATCGAAACCTCAAAGTGAACACGGTGTTCAACGGCGAATTTGTGGCAGGTGACAAGCATGCTTGTAAAAGCATCAACACCCGAAAACTGTGAACTCTTCCACACATCCGATCTGCAGGAGTGGTACCAGCGATGCGTCGTCGAATCCACCCTGGCATCGCTGGAAGAGTTCCAGGAACGCGACAGCGGATGGGCATTGGCGAGAATCATGAATCTGACCGTCAATGTCAATAAGTATAATCCACTCCGCGCGGGGTGTCACTTCAAGTTGCCGCGAGAAATCATGCTGAAGAGGGCAACAATAAGCATACAATCCTCGGACAACGCATGTTTCGCGTGGGCAGTTGTCGCAGCTCTACATCCAGCAAAAAATATCCTGAACGTCCAGGTTCATACCCGCAGTATACGTCGATCCTAAATCTCCAGGGCATTGAGTTCCCAATGTCTCTGGGGTATATTGGGAAGTTTGAACGGCTGAACGACATCTCCGTCAATGTCTACAGCTTCGAGGAGAAGATGAAGAAGGGGCCAACAGTCTTCCCGCTGCACCTCACCAGCCAGAAGAGGGATAGACATGTAAACTTGCTTTACACGCCGAATCAAGAGCACGGCGATGTAGGGCACTTTGCATGCATTAAGGACTTGTCCAGGCTGGTGGGCATGCAGCTGAGCAGGCACAAAGCCAAGAAATTCATCTGCGATCGGTATGTATAAAAAAAAATTTATGAAATGTTTAAAAAATGTTGAAATATATGTGAAATTAAATAAATTTTTTTTTGGGGGTTTACAGATGCATGCACTACTTCGGATCTACCGAGAAGTTGGAGGTGCATTCGCTGGACTGCGGGCAGATAAACAACTGCGCCATTCTGCTGCCCAGCGAAGGCGACAATCTGCTCAATTTCAGCAACCACGATAGGAAGGAGCGGCTCCCTTTCGTGGTATATGCAGATCTGGAGTGCATCATCGCAAAAACGTTGGACAACCAAGCGGGTGATAATAAATTACATACATATCAACACCACAATGTACACAGCATTGCATATTATATGCATTGTTCATATGATACATCACTGTCGATGTATCGATGTCGCCGCGACACAGATTGTGTTTCATGGTTCGTCGACGAACTTAAAAATTTTGCAAACTTTGCCAAACCTATTCTTACCAGTAATGTTCCCATGCTGGATTTAACTCCCGAACAGTTGACGACATTTCGCAATGCAGCACATTGTCATATTTGCGAAGAACCATTCAAGGCTAGCGATGTACGAGTTCGCGATCATTGCCATCTGTCCGGACGGTTCAGAGGCCCAGCACATTCGGAGTGCAATTTAAATTATAAAAATGTGTTTTACATCCCCATAGTTTTCCATAATTTATCCGGCTATGATTCGCATTTCATTATCGAGGAAATAGCTACCGCTTTCGAAGGTCACATTGATGTATTACCTATAACTAAAGAAAAATATATTTCTTTCACAAAACATGTTGAAGATACGGATGAATCAGACTCGCAAAATTATATTAAATTACGATTCATCGATTCATACAAATTTCTAAATACCAGTCTCGACAAATTAGCATCTTTTCTTAACACAGATCAATTAAAAATTTTGCGATCCCAATTTGGAACATTATCCACTGAAGATTTCAATTTATTGACGCGAAAGGGTGTCTTTCCATATGAATACCTTGATTGCGCGAACAAGCTGCAGGATCCATGCTTACCACCGCGCGAGTCATTCTACAGTTCGTTAACGGGCGAGACTGTATCAGAGACCGATTACGCACACGCCGAGACAGTCTGGCAGCGTTTCGAGATTAGAACCTTGGGCGAATACAGCGATTTGTATTTGAAAACTGATGTCTTGTTATTGGCAGATATTTTTGAAAATTTTCGCGAAAGTTGTATCAAGAGCTACGGATTAGATTCAGCGCATTACTATACTCTACCTGGTTTCACATGGGATGCAATGCTAAAACATACCAAAATTACATTCGAATTGCTCACAGACATCGATATGGTCATGTTTATCGAACGCGGTATACGCGGGGGCTTAAGTCAATGTTCCGGAAGATACGCACATGCCAATAACAAGTACATGTCATCTTACGACGCATCGGAAGAGTCATCGTACTTGATGTACTTTGACGTGAACAATTTGTATGGATGGGCAATGTGTCAGCCTCTACCATACGCTAAATTTCAATGGGTCGAAGATGTTGTAAATTTTGACGTATCTTCAATCGGTGTCGATTCGCCCACGGGATACATTCTCGAGGTAGATCTGGAATATCCGCAACGTCTGCACGATGCTCATGCAGATCTGCCGTTCTGTCCGACGCGTGCCAAACCACCTGGCAGCAGGCAGGACAAGTTACTCGCGACGGTATACGATAAGCAGCGTTACATAATCCATTATCGCAACCTGCAGCAGTGCACGCGTCACGGTCTTCGTATTACAAAGATACACCGCGTGCTTCAATTCGCTCAATCTCCCTGGCTCCGCGATTACATCGAACTCAACACACGATTTAGAACAAGCGCGACAAACGACTTTGAAAAGAATTTGTACAAATTGATGAACAACGCAGTATTCGGTAAAACTATGGAAAATGTACGAAACCATGTGGATGTAAAACTTGTGACACATTGGGAAGGGCGATATGGCGCGGAGGCAATGATCGCGAAACCGAATTTCCACAGCAGAAGTGTTTTTTCGGAAAATTTAGTAGCTGTTGAATTGCGAAAACTCGAGGTGAAATTCAACAAACCGATATACGTGGGTATGTGCATTCTGGACATATCAAAACTTTGTTTGTATGAATTTCACCACGAGTACATGTCTCCTAAACACGGGCAAAATTGTAAAATTCTATACACCGACACTGACAGTCTTATTTATCACATTCGGTGCGACGATATCTACGAGTCTATGAAGCACAATATCGATAGATTCGACACAAGCGATTATCCTACCGACAATCCATATAATATGCCACGCGTAAATAAGAAGGTTCCGGGGCTGATGAAGGATGAAAATAACGGTGCGATAATGACTGAATTCATAGGTCTTAGAGCGAAAATGTATGCACTTCGCGTAGACGGCAAAAAAGATACGAAGAAGGCGAAAGGCGTCAAGACCAACGTCATAGCCAGAACGATAACTTTCGTCGACTACGCGCAGTGTTTGCGCAAAGAGATCGAAATGGTTCGCAGACAATCATGCATACGGTCTAAATTGCACAAAGTGTACACCATTTCGGAATCCAAAATCGCTCTAAGTCCGTATGACGACAAGCGATATATCGTACCCGATTCGACCGACACTCTGCCCTGGGGACATTATAATATACCGTTGTAAAATAGAAATTATTATTATTGTATTTATTATAAATAGTGGAATTTATTGTATAATATAAAATTGTTTACAAATTGTCCGCAAATGTATAGAAATTAGTATTTATTAACTCATTCATATAAATAGTGGGATTAATGTGTAAAATAAAAGTCGCCACTCATGTATATGTATATGCATCATTGTATTTTATTGAACCATGTATTATTTTACAATACATTATTTTTATTTATCCAAGAATTGTGTGATTTATCAAAGCCCAACCACTTGACATACACCTTATCCCCCTTTCTACGCAACACTTTTTCCACTAGATGCACATCAGGATCTGTGACGCGTTGCAGCTCATGTTCGTAGAATCCTCCGGCAACAGGTTTTCCAAAGGAATCGAGGAGCAGATACGTCGCGGGATTAGTTGCCTGTACTTTGGCTATTTTAAACACCTCCGTTGTCCAATTCGGTGTATAGCCTTTATCGAAGATGGTTTTAAATTTGCTCACGCGCACAAACTCGCCCAATTTGAATCTCGCTGGAGCAGCGATCTTTATGTTGCTGTATACTGTAGCTAGCAGCTTATCGGCGATCGCAGGGGTAACATCGCAAGGACGCATTCCGATGGTTCTATGTTTTCGTGCGTTATACTCTGCAAGTAGACGCGGTAGTGCATCAGCCCATTTATAGGTTCCATTGAGCGTAAACAGTTTCCACATATTGTTCTTCAAAGTTCGATTGAAACGTTCTACGACGGAGGCCTTCATCACCGAATACGTCGAATAATGATTAATGCCATGCTTTGTCATGAGTTTCTGCACATCAACGTTGTAAAATTCTTTTCCTTGATCGGTTTGCAAATTTTTCGGATGTCGATCTCTAAATATCTTTGCAAACGCTTTAGTCACCTCAGCACCACCTTTAGTCTTGAGCGGTACCGCCCATGCATACTTGCTCAGCACATCGATGACCGTGAGTATATAGTGATGACCTCGGTTGAATCGCGAGTATGGACGCATTTCTACAACGTCAGCTTGCCACAGATCATCGTATCCATGCACTATGACGTGTCTCCGCGGGAAATGTCTTCGAGCTGGAGCATGCAATTCCTCAACAAGTTGTCGCTTCTTGAGACTATGGCTTTCATTACTCTCGGATTTCGATATTGGTTGCATGTTTGATCGCAGAGATGTCTTTGACACGAATGATGCGATAATTATCGTGTACATACATTATGTGCTCCCCATCGGCTCGAGGAAATTCTGGTCAAGTTCAACCGTCTCGCATGATTTTCCTTCGCATTGTCGCTGCGGATTCAATGCGCGTGATATCTCTTGAACGCTGTTTTGCAACGTCAACATATCTCTCTGAAACATGACCAGCTTCCTCTCCAATTCTTCATGCTGCTCTCTCAAAAGTTTAATGCTCTTTTCCACATATAGTTTATTAACGGCATCGCTGTCAACTGTCGGCTGAGCTACGCGTCGTATCTTGCGTGATTTTGCATCAAAGTCGGCACCTGCCACGCAAAGAGCATTGTCTCGCATATAATTTCGAAGCAAACCGCTCCATTTGTAATAGTCCATTCCAGCTGCTCCGCTCTTCTCGAGCGATACTCCAAATTTATTGATCGGCATCTCAACGCATACAGTGCACATCATCGGTGCGCGGTTTAATTTATAATGAGGCCTACCTCGCGGAGTTCCTCGATAATCGATAGAATTTCATGGCCATGCGAGTTGTTACCCGCCTGACGCGACGCTTCCAACAAACGGAGTCGATCCACCAGCTCGTTGGGATCGTCCCAGTGCACGTAATCGATCTTGTTATCATTTACCGTCATGACATGCGGAACCGGCAGGCCTTTCCCTGCCTTACTGATAGATACACGGGGTAGTAGCGGCGCAATTACATGTTTATACTTGTATCCCTTGTTACCCATTATGGGATTTTGTGCGTTATGGCCACGTCTGTGAGC